ATTCTCCTTGTTGTTTGTCGTTCAAGATCCCTATCGAGCTTATTCGAGAAGGTCGCGACGGAGAGATGGAAGGTTGCGACGGAGAGATGGAAGAACGTCGGGGGGATTCGGAGAGAGAGAGACGGAGCCTGATTATTTTTTGGGGAGAGTTTGGTTAGAGAGAGGGAGGCAGAGCGGCGGGAACGGAGAGAATGAGATAGGGTCGGTTGTTAATGGTTAGGTTTAGGGTTAGCTTTCTAATTTTTTAATTATTATTATATATACTAAAGGTAAATTATTATATTTTAATAAATAGAAAAATACAAATCAGTCTTCAAACTTTTTACTCTTAGCATTAAGTGTATATATTTGTTGAAGTGTGTATAATTGTAATGTTGCACATTGTTGACTGTTGTAGATATTTAATAATTTACAACTTGTTATCCGATATATCTCGGTTTTATTCCGGTATTATTCCGGAACGGTACTATGATTTTTTCGGTACGGTATAATTATAAAAAAAATATTTTTTTATTTTAAAAATGGTATTTTAGCGGTACAAAACGATTGAAACACGGTTGTACCACAAAATACCCTATCATAGACGAATCCGTTATGACTTCCGATACGGTTTCATGGACCATGCCTTTAAAGTCATGTACCCTTTCTTGCCTCGCATTTTGATTTTCAAGTAGTCCATTAGCTCATGCCCAAGGAGGATATTTTCAACAATTTAACGTTCCCGGATAAACACATTCTGGCCCTCCGAAATGATTTGTGATCTAAGGATAAGGGAGTAAAAAGTGTACAAATTGACCCGAATCAATAAGTCACCACCCTGTTTGCTCACTATCACCCATTATTAACTTTTCTTAAATAATTTGGGGTTATTGATAAGATCATTATTAACGAGAATGTGCCATTTTTCAATGGATAATCAAGAGCATTACCAACGAAATCTATTAACACGACATAGACTTTTCATACCTCTCACAAGAATATTATTAACCAAGAACGTGCGCTTCTCGGTTATAGGCATGGGACATCATCATCCACGCTCGTTCGCCGCCACTTCTTACACTTTTGATTCGTCTAATCGTGGAGAGGTACCGTAGTTCCGGCCTGCGATCGCTCCATGGGTTGCAGACACAACCTCATCGTCGGTAGAGGTGGCAAATGGATTGATTCATGGATTGGTGGATCCATGGATTTAATGGATTCATTGATTGGATCAAGTGGATTGGTGGATTATCCATGATTTCCAAATGACATCCTCAACCAAGCACCAATATGTAAAATGTGAAAAGTCTAGGTACTAAAATGTCATAATGAAAAATTGTAGGTACCAAAACGTAATGTTCCAATGATATTTTTCGTATAAAAATTAAATTTTAGGTACCAAAATGTAAAATATAAAAAATATAGGTATCAAATTGTAATTTGCCATTTGGATCCATGGATCAATCCATGAATCCACCAATCCAATTAAATTTGGATCAAATGGATTGGATTTGAATTGATTGGATTAGATGGATATTTTTAATAAATTGGTGGATTAGATTGGTGGATTGGATTGAGAATTGCCACCTCTAGTCGTCGGCTTCAACACTCTGCAACAAGAACTCCATTTAAAGCTCGCCACCGCAGTGAAATCTCGTGGGTTGCCGACCTGGCGAAAATGAGTTTCTCGACCCTAGAGCCACTTCCACCTACAACGTCGGGCGGTAGGAAAGTGGACGGTCCATTCTTGGAAGCGATGAGTGTTGCTTGGATCTTGATGAGGAGATTGTAGTAAAAGCCGCAGGAGGAGATGCCCAGTCGGAAGGTTTTTTTTGGTCGAGAACGGGGCGCTTAAAGGGCGCCCCAACCTTTATGCATTAAACCAACCGGGGTGTTTGAACCCCAACCCGATCAAAGTACAGCCATTACAGCAACATAGTACTGGGAACATCAAAAACATGCATCCCTACAGCAAGGGAATGCCCCAGAGAGGCTAGATAATCCGCCACAAAGTTCGCCTCGCGATATACATGCTCAATCTTAACCTGCCAAGGCCTCTCTAACCAGCGACGAATCTCAGCAACCATCGTATAATGTGGGTGGTTGGTCGTCGCAGACGCAATCAGAGTGACTGCCGTGTTGGAATCTGTCTGAAGAAGCACCTTCCTAGCCCCTTCTTCCCAGGCAAGCTTCAACCCATGCACAATTCCAGCCAGCTCTGCTCGGGTAATAGAACCCCCTCCAAGGTTCGCTGAAAACGCTTTGATGAAGCGGCCATTATCCCCTCGCACGATTGCCCAGTCGGAAGGTTGAAGGAGCAAGACAAAATCTTTCTGTGAAGCAAAGCCAAGGGTGGGGAGAATATATAAACCCTAACTAAATATATTTAGGTTGAATTTTAAAATAATTAAAATTTCTTAGGGGTCGTTTGGAAGTTGCGATTGTTAAATAGATGTATTGTTAAGAATGCATGTATAATATTATACATGTATTGTCGAATTTGATGCATTGTAGAATACAACGTTTGGTATGTGTGATTGTGTATGTCGCATTAGCTAAAAAGCTGAGACAAAACAATCTCAACTCAACTATCTCAACAATCACAACTAAAAGTTGAGATATAACAATCACTCAAAATGAGTGATAGTTTCTGTCACATCACAGAAACAATCCATGTATTGTTTCTGTTAAAAAAACAAAAAAACAATGCATTGTAAACAATACATGCATAATGACAATCTCAACAAAACAATCGCAACTTCCAAACGACCCCTTAATATCCTAATTACCCTCAACCACCTACTAACTACTAACCTTTATTAATTAATTAATTTCCTGTAAGCCAATAGGAGGAGTTTAAGCAAGTGCTTAAGTTTTTGGGCTTAAACACCAGAATCCACGCCCTTAAATTAATAAATTGTATGGGCAAAAGATTGTAACCAAGATTGTTAAACCCCTATCAGACCCACAGTTGGACCCGGTCCGACCCGAGTCGAGCTTCAAAACGGCATCCAGAAAGCTCCCCGGTCTGACCCCTAAAGAGGGAGAAGAAGAGAGAGGAAGAGGAACGAAGGAAGGGAGATGGCGGGTGGATCATAGAGGTTAGGTAGTTTTATTTTGTGAAAAATAAGTTTTTAATAGATATATGTAAGATAAATTTTATTTCGGTCATTAAATCTTTAATTTCTACCTTATTTGTATATATATTTAGAAAATATATAAAATGGCTCAAACCGGCCGGACCCCGATCAGACCATTAAAACCTCAAACCCCTTCCTTGACTGGCTCAATGACTTAAACCGGTTTGACAACCTTGATTGTAACTAAACTACCGAAGGAAGGAGGACGCTGAGTAGGGATGGCAACAAAACCCGAACCCACGGGTAACCACCCGACCCAACCCGGTCAACGCGGATAAAATCCGTGTTGACGGGTTTTGGGCCGGGTTTGGGTTTAAACCCGTTCACTATTCATCGGGTTGGGTTGGGTTTGGGTTTAGGTAAACCCGACCCATGGGTACCCACCTACACCCATATAATTAATTTTCTCGGTATATTTAATATTCTAAACAACTAATCTTATATGTTTGTGGAGGCATGTCTAATTTTTTCTTTCTAATTATGTAGAATGAAGTTAATGTTATCGAGTGGAGAATGAAGAAGTTTTCAATTAATCATGTTATTTATGGATAATTTGTGATTTGCTTCAATGTTCTTGAGTTTTCTAGATTGATGTTGAAAAATTTGTATAGTTAATTTGTGATTTGCTTAAATTTTTTGTTATGGTGTTTTATATATGGATAATTTGTATTGAGAGATTGATATTTGACTTTAATTTTGATAGGAACTTGTTATGGTAAATTTTTTACGACAAAAACCCATGGGTACCCATGAACCCGCGGATACCCAGTGGGTTGGGTTGGTTTTGAGTTTTTCAAACCCAGTGAGTTTTACCCTGGATTTTTTTCACGGATAAACCAATGGGTTTGGATTTGGGTTTAGCAATACCCGACCCAACTCGATCCATTGCCATCCCTAACGCTGAGTTATAATTGATTGGTGGAATTAATTTTAGGCTAATTACTATAATGGCTTGAGGGTAATTTGGGAACTCTAGGATATATTAAGTACCGGGTGTTAGAAATTTTTTTAAAGAAAAGTAAACAAACCTGCTTCTCAACTCTCAAAATTTACTGAATTGCTATTCGTCGCCCTGAAATTTAAATTTTATCGCCCTAAAATGCAACAAATTGACATATCTACCCTCAACCCAATTTCAATTCTAGCCCTAACCAAACAATTCCTTCCTTACCCCCAACTCACATTGGTGCCGCCCTCGCCGAGAAAAAGAATCGTCTCCTCCCCTGCTCCTGCCCCAACTCCAATCTGTTGTTGCTGCTGCTACTCGAGCGCGGGAGGGAAGAAGGAAGAAGCCCTACATAACTTAAAATCATTCGTCGTAAATAGAAACTTCAAACACTTCCAGCAATAAAGCTTAATAGAGCATGAAGAACTTATTCAGTAACATAAGGTCATGGCAGAGGTTACAGGGTATCCTTATAATTATAACCATAGAGACTTAGGGTTCAGGAAAAGAAGAGGGTTCTGCTTCTTCTTTCTGCAATGAACTTCATTTCCAGGATAACAAAGAATGGAAACAGGTGGGCATGGAAATCATGATAAGAGTCGGTATTACCATCGGGTTGTTAACAACCCTTCGAATCCAACAAGGCTTAGCATGGATTCTACTCGTACTGATTCTGATGGTAAATGAACGGAGGTCGATAAAGTAAATTTGATTTAATTAGGGCGACCAATAAGAAATTTTAGGGCGACGAATAGCAATGCCCAAAATTTAACCTCATATTCTCCAAACGACTCCTAAATTTGTTTTTTCTTCTCCATTTGCTATCGATCAGTCAGGATTACTTGCTAAAAAGGTTCCTTTTTTTTTATTTTAAGTCTTCTACTCGGCTCTCGCCATTAACTTGTTCCTTTTTTTTTCCATTCCACACTCCAACCCTCCCTTCCTCCTCCTCTCTCCACAATCTTCTTCTACCTCTGTAATTATTCAGTGTTGGTAGTATATACAGATTCACAGTTAAGCTAAAGCCTACCATTACTCTTCTCTCCGCTACTCTTACTACATGTGGGTAGTTCACACTTTTGCTACCGGGTCCTCTCACCATTATTGAACATTAGAGGAGGTGTTTGTTGTTTTCTCTTTTAACCTTTTCTCCCCTTTCCCCTCCTTTCCCTTTCCTTCTGGTTGCTTGTCACCTCACTACTTCGCTCTTCCCCTTCCCTACTGCTAGCTCTTTTCTCAGATGTGGGATCTGGTTTCTGCTTAGAATTTCTGGTGTTGCTCTGCTTATTCTTTTCTCCTTATCCTTCCTAGCTCATTCCCTCATTTTAACCAGGATTTCCCCTTTTTCTGTTGCAGCTTTAAATTCCGTATAGAGAGTGAAAGAGACTAAGCTATGGCTGGAGGTGGCGGTGGAGGGAAGGCAGATGAGCCACAGCCACACCCACCTAAAGAGCAGCTACCCAACATTTCCTACTGCATTACCAGCCCACCTCCATGGCGTGAGTTCCCCCTTTTTTTTTTTTGACTCCTTTCACTTTCTTTTCCTGCTTCTGCTCGTTTCCAATTTTGGCAAACTGTGTTGTCGGTGTGGGATGTGGTCTGCTTTGGGGCGATTTTCCCTAGTGTCTGTGAATCGGGTTCTTCTTTTCTTTTTATATTCTGGATATTCCAGTGTCTACTGCCTCCTTAAAAGATAGAAAGTAACTTTTTCGAGCTTTTTCGCGTTATATGCTGCATCTTGTTGAAAGGGCAAGTGCTGTTTCCGTAAAAGATTAAAGGGTTCTCAGTTCTCACGCACTGCTTGTGCTGAAGATTCTGGTGTTTTTCTTACGACTAATAAAAGTTGAAGGGACGAGATAATACAGCGACGGGTCATTAAAAATAAGCTTCTACTACTTTGAGAATTAATTAATCTCTTGGGTATTTTTATCTCTCTTTAGTTTCTCTGGATTCCAAATGTCCACTTTCTAATCTCCGCCTTTGTATGCTTAGTTCTGGGGGACAAATATGGTTCAATTGCTATGTACCCCTGTTTGGGCTGCGAATGTCCATTGTTTGAAGTCAATGTAGCGAGTAAAGGACCAACTACATCTTTTTTCAACACATTTAACTTGATTGACGAAGAAGAACTTGAATGTCTAATTCAGAACTTTGTGGTTGGGTTTAATGCAGCCGAGGCTATCCTACTTGGTTTCCAGCACTATCTTGTGATGCTTGGGACTACTGTTCTCATCCCAACTGCCCTTGTCCCGCAAATGGGAGGTGGAAATGTAAGTCCCTGAATTTGGGGCATTGAATTCAGCACTGCCCTGTTTGATTATGTCCTATCTGTCATACTAATGTGACCGAAGTTGCATTTGGTATTTGCAGAAGGAGAAGGCGCAAGTGATTCAGACCCTGCTCTTTGTTTCTGGTTTGAACACATTGCTTCAGAGTATGTTTGGTTCTAGATTGCCTGCTGTCATTGGGGGCTCTTACACCTTTGTCCCAACTACAATCTCAATCATCCTTGCGGGTCGATTCAGTGACAATCTAGACCCTGTTGAGGTTTTCCTATTCATCCTTCTCTTCTTGTTGCCCTTGGATTATGCCTTGTAGTGATTGTTCTTTATGATCGTTGACTCAAATTCAATGCGACTGGCATTTTTTGCAGAAATTCAAGCGGATAATGCGGGCAATCCAAGGTGCACTAATTGTTGCTTCAACTCTTCAGATTGTTCTGGGATTCAGTGGCCTCTGGCGCAATGTGACCAGGTTAGTTTGAAGCTGAATTAGTTACCATGTAAGAGAAGCTTTGTCAAGTCTTGCTTTTCTGTTCCATTTATTGGATTTCATTTTGTCCACCACTTGCTGTCACCTTTCACGTTTTAGTTTTGGGATATATTCTATAGGATTCTGTAGCAGAACTATACAGTTCATTTTAGATCGTAACAGTGGATGACTTATAGGCTACTAGCTTCATGTTAAAATTGAGCGGGGCCTAATAGTTGTTCCTTTATCAGGTTCCTGAGTCCACTTTCTGCTGTTCCATTGGTCAGCCTCGTCGGCTTTGGCTTGTATGAGCTTGGCTTTCCTGGGGTAAGTTAGTTTAGATGCACTACATTGGGTGTGCAGAGAATGATGTAGAAATGTCATCTTAATGCTGATAATGATTTTCTTGCGGTGAATGCTTAGGTTGCGAAATGTGTTGAGATTGGCCTACCAGAGCTTGTCATATTGCTGTTTGTTTCACAGGTTTGTTTTAGTTGACTTGTCCCCTTGCATTTTGGTCTCCTTGAGTTTGTTTTTGTGTCTGTTGGTTGAAGTAATTGACCGATAATGGTTTTTGATTTTCCAGTATATGCCTCACGTGATAAAGAAAGGGAAACATATCTTTGATCGGTTTGCTGTCATATTTGCAATTGTAATTGTCTGGATATATGCACACCTACTCACAGTTGGTGGAGCTTATAATGGTGCAGCACCAAAGACACAAGTAACTTGCCGCACGGATCGTGCTGGATTGATTGATGCTGCTCCATGGTAAGGTTTCTCTACTTTGAAGTGGTTCTCTGCTGTAGCTTTCACCCTTTCATTTAACAAAATAGTTTAAGAGAAATGTTTCTGCATCACATGCATGGTGTCGTCCAAGTTTTCCTGTGACTTTTGCAACTGCCCAGTCATCTCTGCAGCATCTTAAATTAATGGAAATCGCTCTGTAGCAGAAGAGAATTACTTAACATAATCCCATGCTCTTCCTTGCATTGATGTTAAAAGTTTTGGTATTTTGAGGGTGAATATTGTCTTCAACCCATGCTAAACTAGCTGCAAAATTTGGTATTTGATGCTAAACTTCCTGAGTATCTTTCTTGTATAAAATGTCCTGCTTTGAAGGGGAGGCTGGATATGAGTTCCTTTGTTGGAATACGCCTGTTTGGAACATTTTCACCTGTGTTTTGTTTGAATTGTTGCTTCCTACTGCTTTGTTGCAGTTGAAAGATCTATGACCAGTCAAGATTATGGTCAAATTTTTATCAGTTCCTAAAGCTTGTTTACTCGTGTTGTTGATTCTCTCTTGGAATATGTCCCTAAACTGTTTCGTATTGATGGATCTGCAGGATAAGGGTTCCTTATCCGTTCCAATGGGGAGCACCCTCCTTTGATGCTGGTGAAGCCTTTGCTATGATGATGGCTTCTTTCGTTGCTCTTGTTGAGGTATGTTATTAGTTTCCCTATGTTTCATTGCTTCTGTTCTATTTAACTGCAGCTGAAGTGCACAAGTTTGCACGCTGCCTGATGTTTGATATTGAGACATGGATTCTTATCGTAGCATTTTTTTATATATTTATATGATTAATCCATTTGTGAATAAACAGTCTACTGGTGCCTTCATAGCTGTATCGAGGTATGCTAGTGCAACTCCCATGCCACCTTCGGTTCTCAGTCGGGGTGTTGGTTGGCAGGTAAGTTGAATCACTGCCCCTTACAGACCATTCACTTGTATTTGTTCGTAGCACAAACATTATCATATGAGATGCGTCTCTGCAACACTTAAATTTAAGTTCACGTTCCATCTAAAGCCCTACAAAGGAGGATTTAGGGTGTGTTATCTGCTTCCTTTAAAAGTCAATATGAGGAGCGTACTTGCTAGTTGCTACCTTCCAATTTCTCAAAATATCCTCTTAGTGGTGATGAATCAGTGTCCATGTTTGGGGAATTGGTGGTGGGGACAGAATCAAGTTTGGCTCACTGAACTGTAATGCAGAAGATGAACTTGCTTTGGTTGTTTGTCATTCGTTTTAAAAAGGCAGTTTCGTTTGCCGTGTCATTAAAAAATTAACGGAGATAACGGAATCTGACAGAGACTAACGGCCGGTGACTAATGGTGAAACGAATCGTAAAGTTAGTGGCTAATATGAAAGAAAAGTAATTCTGATGGCAAACGTGAAAGATTTATATAATTTGGGTGACCAAACGTGTAATTTAGCCTTTTAAAAAGTATCAGTTTAACACTGCCATTGCACTTAAGCATGCCATGGAAGTGAGCATGTCTCTTAATCATTCATGTTGGAACTGTGTTAATGTCCTAATACCTACTCATATGTGAAAAGAAACTTGAGTTCAAACGTCTTAAACATAGCTGCATTTCAGTGGTAGAAACAAACCATTTGAAATGAGATACCAACTTTTTTTGTTGTCTCTTTTTTTGCTGCAGGGAGTAGCCATTTTGCTCTCTGGCTTGTTTGGAACTGTGAATGGTTCATCTGTGTCAGTGTAAGCCCATGACTATGATATCCCGCCAGTTAGTCTAAATTTCTGCTTCTGCATAGGATCATACTTCCCTTTACTTATTCGATCGAGTCTGTACAGAGAGAATGCTGGTCTTTTGGCGTTAACAAGAGTTGGCAGCCGAAGGGTAGTCCAGATATCTGCTGGATTCATGATTTTCTTCTCCATCCTTGGTATGTCTTCTAAGGGTCCGTGGATCTTTCTTGTTTGGACTGAAGCTATTTCAAAATTTGATTAGTGAAACCTTTGCTTCATTATGCAGGAAAATTTGGGGCAGTCTTTGCTTCAATCCCAGCTCCTATAATAGCCGCTCTATACTGCCTTTTCTTTGCTTATGTCGGTATGTGCACATCATTTTGTTAACAAGATAAATGTTCCGATTTGAAGATCTTAGCTTCCTTAATTGTTTTTATAATTCAGACAGAGTACCTAACGCTTAAATTTATTTCCATTGTGGATTTGCAGGTGCTGGAGGTCTTAGCTTCCTTCAATTTTGCAATCTCAACAGCTTCAGAACAAAGTTCATACTAGGCTTCTCCATCTTCATAGGCTTGTCCGTGCCACAATACTTCAATGAGTACACTGCAATCAACGGCTATGGCCCAGTTCACACTGGAGCTAGATGGGTAAATGAAATGCATGCATGGAAATTTGTGGAGAGATAAGTCATGCTGTAAGCTCTAATATATAAAAAAATCCCCTAACATTCTCATCTTATCTTATTTCTTACGACAGTTCAACGACATTGTGAATGTTCCATTCTCATCAGAAGCCTTTGTTGCGGGCATTGTGGCGTACTTCCTGGACACCACACTGCACAAGAAAGACAGTTCTATAAGGAAAGACAGGGGGAAGCACTGGTGGGACAAATTTAAGTCGTTCAAGAGTGACACCAGGAGTGAAGAGTTCTACTCTTTGCCCTTCAACCTCAACAAATACTTCCCATCCGTCTGATAGAAAAGCTCTGATGGGTTTTGACTTGGAAAATATCACCCTGGTTCTCATACCTCTGATCCTTGGATGAAATCGCCTCCTATCATCTGTCAATGTTAATCGATCGGATGCGCTGTCCATATAGCATGATTATTATTAATTACATAAGATAGTTTGTAATTCCTTTTATTTACAAGGTTGCCTCGGTGAGGGAAACATTGTTTTTTGGTTGCAACTTGCAAGTAAATGTGACCAAGGAAATTACACCTGGGAAGTAGCAATGAAGAAGGTTCTGAGTCTCCTCTCCACCCTTTTCCTTCTATCTATTTACCAAAATTTGGACAGATCTTCCCAACTGGAAAGAAAATGACTTTGGGACTGATGCCAAGTTGGACTGCAGAAGGGCAAATTGGACATATGGTCCCTATCAAGTGTCCATTCTCCAATAGGGTACAGTCCCAAACAAGAAGATGACTTGTCCTGCAGAAATGGTTCTGTCGGGAGGCAGCGGGGTTGGGAGGGGCAGAGCAGTAGGTTGGTAAGAGCATCTCCATTCTATTGGTAAACCAATTTTTAGCAATTATCAAAGTTTAGGTGGCAACCCAACTGGCAATTGCTTATTTAGAAAGATTGTTAAATTAGCAAGTCCTTTAGCAATGTCATGTGTGTATATGCTTTTTTTTTTCTTAGTAGTAACTTTTCAATCAAAAAATATTTTGGTAAATTTAAAGTATTGGTTGGGCCTAGCAATTGCAAACAAAATTTAGGGATGTAAGTGGTTTGCAATTCTTTTAATTGAAATTGCTAAATGTGATGATATGGATGTAGGCACCACGTTTAGAAATTGCTAGGGATGGAGATGGTCTAAAAGGCTGAGGAGTCCTAAAGTTGCGATTTCCAATCTCAAGTTTTTGGAATGGTGACAAGGCAACCAACTTTTGACGGTGACTTTTAAAAGTTTCTGGTCCTACTGATGTGACCGCAACCAAACTCATACAAATTGGAACCCAAGATCTTTCTGTTATTGGCAAAATACATTTGTATAGCCAAAATTTTTGCGTTTGTGCCAATAATAGCCAAATTTGGAGAAATACCACTTATAGCCAGAATTTTGAAACTTTTGTGCCAAATATAGCCATTTCTGTTACAAACTTTAACAGTGTTAGAGACTCCGTCAGTTAGTTTAACATTAGGCTGACTAGGACGCCAAATCATTGCACACGTCAGCGACATATCAGCCACATTCGCCACGTAGGTGACATGTCATATTTTTAATTTAAAAAAAAATGAAAAATTCATATATTATTCATAAAGAAAGAAAGGAAAATTTTTATAAAAAAAAGAAACAAAGAAAGAAAAGAAAATCGTTTCTTTGCTTCTGGGTTCGTCTGTGGCTGCTCTATTTGAGATTCGTCGTTCTGCTTTCGGTTCATCGATTTGTTCACTATTCTGCTTATGGGTTCGTCTGCGGCTGCTCTATTTGAGACTGCCACTCCCCGTCGTCGGCTTCTTATTCCCAAGTGTTCCAGCGTCAATAGATCTCCACTCCCGCAGAAACTCCTTCGCCGCTTCCATAGCCGCGAAGACCCAGCTATGCCGAACACAAGTGTTCCAGCGTCAATCGTTCTCCACTCCCGCTTGGATTTTCGTCGGGGAGGAGGGCATTGTGGCTGGGCAACCCCCTGAACGAAGAGGGAAGTGGTGTCGGGGTAGTGGCGGCGGAATCGGCGGCAGTAGTGGTTTGGAAAATTAGGGATTCAAAGAGATAGAAGGGAAAGTGAAAAGGGAGGGATGGGTGAATGAAAGGGACGCCGTCGCTACGGGAGAAACATCTTCCACCACTTCCTCTATCCATCTGCGCCACCGTTTGGAATCCCTATAGCTTCCTTTTTCTTCTTGATTCTACTGGGATTTGGGTCTTTTCTTCTTGGTTCTACAGGAACCCAACTGGGCGATTGCTCTGCATATCGTCCGGATCTTCTACTTCATCGTCACTATCCCAAATCCAACAATCAAACCTCTTCGATTTAGGGTGATCTGAGACGTCGTTGCTTCTCCACGAAGCAGCAGCAGAAGAAGTCGGCCAAGGCGCTGAACGGAGGGATTTTGTGTGGCAGAAAGTTGAATCGAATTTTCATCCGCCAAAGATGATGGTTTGGGTTGGAGCTGGCGACGATTGCACGTTGCAGATCTATGCGCAATCTTCACATATCTCTACGTTGGCTTCTTCTCCGACGATCCGGTCGCTATCACGGTGGGGAAATTGAAATTTCCTCTCTGTGTTTTTCCCAACTTAGAGACCCTAGCTAAACTGCAGCTCCAGGTGATAGTTGTTGAAAAAAAGAAGATGGAAGAGGGGTTTTGTAGCTTTGTGGATATGGGTTTGACGAAGAGAGGTGGGACTTTTGGGAAAGAAAAGAGGGATCGAAGAAAAGAGGGATTTAGAGAGGTGGGATGAAGCAGCGAAGGGCGATAAGAAAAGAGGGTAGGTTGGGAGAATAGAAGTTTTTTGTTTTATTTATATTTAATTTTAGTTCTATGAATCAAAAGACACGACCATTTGAAAATTTTAAATATTATTCTTTTATTAAATTTTTAATTAAATCCACGTGGAAAATACCTACAGGACAGATCGGACAATCCGTTAGTCTAGTCAGCACGTTAACTCACACCGTCAAAGAATTGGATGGAAGTGGCTATTTTTGGTATTTCGCCAAAAGTGGCTATATTTGTCCAAACCGTCAAAGTTTTGGCTACACAAGTGTATTTTGCCATTCTTTTTCTAGGCTTGATTCCTTGCTTACAATCTTAATCTTTTTTTCAATAATTACAATCTTAATCAATGCCTTCAATTAAACTCTAAAATCAATCAAGAACTTTCTCTCTCTCTCTCTCTTTCTCTCACTAGAACTTCCCTTTGGTATTTTGGGTCGAAACCCTAGAGAGAGAATCAAATTCTTCTCCAAAACCAGCTCTCCTTTCTCTCTCCCCGCTGCTTTCTTTATATTTGCCTGATAGTTGATTCGGGCCCAAATGTACACATTTTACACCTCATTTCTTATTCGTTTAGCTTATTAGATCATCGTTCCTCGACATATTTCACTCTAGGTTATGCTTGTTTTGATACATTTCATGTCCTAACATGTGTGGGAGGGTCGAGGACGAGTTTCGGGATAATTGGAGGTCAAAAAGCGCAAAAACCGAAGAAAAGTCCAAAGTCCGTGACAATTGCCCCGTAACAGTGAAGCGCAGGTGGCAGGAAGCAGCCGCAGTTCACGGACAAACCAGGCAGTTCACGGTCAGACAAGGCAGTTCACGGTCTCCCAAGACCGTGAACCGGAACCACAAACCGTGAACAGCGAGGCGTCCAGCGAGGTTTCAGAAGTTACTAACGCCAAGGCAATCACGGTCTCTAAGACCGTGAACTTGGATCACAAACCGTGAACCCAGGAGAGTGAAGCGGTGCGTTTCGGAGACAACACTGAGTTCACGGACGCGTGCTGATGTTCACGGTCGTGAACTGGCCAATGCAGCCATGAACTGGGAACTTTCGGGCAAATATGAAGACATCAGCGGGGAGAGAGAAATGAGAGCTGGTTTTGGAGAGGAATTGGTTACTTTCTCTAGGTTTTGATCCCAAAACACCAAAGGGGAGTTCTAGTGAGAGAGAGAGAGAGAGAGTGCTTGAGTGATCTTAGAGCTTAATTGGAGGCTTGGGTTGATCTTGAAGACAAGGATTCAAGCCTAGAAGAAGAAGATCTTGGGCCCAATTTGTATTCTCTCTCTTCTCTCTAGAAACTCACCCTCTTCTCTTGGGTTTAAGAACCCCAGGTCTAGATTTTGTGTTGTTGTTGATGTATGTGACAAATTCCTTGTTTGATTGAGTTTATTATCTAATTGATGCATGTTTTAATGAATGACATGAGTTTGGATTCCATTTTCATGTCTTGAGATTTTGACCTAGGAGGGAGATAACCCCCTTAGAGCCCCCCTATTGGCGTCTTTGGGTCACTCCTATCGTATATTGTCTGGCTAATCCCCGAGGGAGTTGACTCGATCCACCTCCTATCAATATACGAAACCCTAGGTTGAACAGAGCACCTACCCATCCACCAATCCGTCGTTCCGGTCATTCCCGAGTGAGTCTATATATCTCTTAACGGTAGGATAGTGAATCGATTAAGCGGGAATAGTACTAAACATCGTTCCATTTGACGGAACCAATGCAGTCAAAAACGCGATTCTACCTAGAAACGGAAGATGGGTAAAATCGTAAAACGTAGAATCAAAACGTAAAAACGTAAGTTTTTTATGCATCCTGTAGAGTAGCTAGAAATCTGTAAAATTCGGCATGTACTATGGAAAATATGAGTGTACACATTTCAAATAAATGAGTAAATACCTGCAATTTATGTTTAAAATAGACAAAAACTCATAACATCTAAATAATAAGTTCATAAACATAAATCATAACTCACAAATGAGTTAAAAGAAAAATAGACAAAAACTCACAAATCATAACTCATAGCAAGAATTTCTTTTATGTAAAAAATAAATTCTCTAAATAATCATCAACATCAGCTAAGCACAGCCGCCTAATTCATGTGTTCTAGTAATATATATATATATGCATTACGGACAAAAGATTAGGGAAGGCTTACTTTACTTGCTTGTTTGGTGTTCCATACTAGTTCCGTAGCGTTCTTCTTTGGTTGAGGAGACTGCTGGCGCCGCTGCAATTCAATTTTCTTCCCCTCGTCGGCGGAGACTGCTGGCGCCACTGGAGACTGCTGGAACGGTGGTCGTCGCTGCTTGCCGGCCGCTGGAGACTGCTGGCGACGGTGGAGAGGTCGCCCCTTGCCGGGCGCCGCTGTGGTTCTTCCTTGCCGCCGCTGTGGTTCTTCCTTGCTCCCATCGGCAGTAGAGCCCGATACCCTCAATTAGGGTTGTGTTGCGACTTGCGATTTCTGTTTGGGGGGGGCTCGGCAGATGAGCCCGATACCCATCAATTCCCCTTACGTTTTTTTAAGCTCTTAAACGGCATCGTTTAGAGGAAACTTGGCCATTTTTTGTCAATGTTCGGAATCGCATAAAAACGGTGGGAAAACGCGTTTCTAACCGTTTTCACCGATTTTAACGTTTCCACCTACGATTTTGAGCGATTTTGAACACCATACGCTTTTAGGTAGAAACTTAAACGTTTTGGTGACCTAGATACGTAAAAACGTACGTTTTTACGACTTGATGCGCGATTTTGACTGCACTGGACGGAACTAGGAGGATTCGAACCCAAGAGAGCTCCGCACCT